GTTTGGGCTTCATGAACTGGGAGAAGGCTGGAGCAAGGTGGGAGCTGAGACCTGGCCAGGCAGCCCTGTGGGAACAGTTTCCCTTAGGAAATTTCCCCCTGACCCCGTGCAGGGAATGGCTCTGCAGGGAGCAAATGTCCTCCGTGGGCTCATCCGCGTCACCACTGGGCAGGGGGGACGGTGCCGCCCACGATGTGCACTTCTAATTTGTCTTTTTGAGGGATTAAGAGGGAATGCTGCTGGTGCCTGGGGAAAAAGAAGAGTCCGCAGAGAAGTGATTGATTTTTTTTTTTGATTTTTTTTTTGGTTGTTTGTACTGAACATTCTGGAGATGTTTGGGAACATGGGCTGGCCAGAGCAGTGCTGGCTGGTTCGCAGTGTGCACTGAGCGTGGGGCAAGGAGTAATGAGGGGCAAATGAATTTTCCCACCTTGCAAGAGCACAAACCTGACCTTGGAGGTGGTGCAGAGGAGACGAGTTGGTTGAGGACCAGCTGCCCTCGCTTGCTCACCCTCATGGGGTGCAATTGGGGAGAGTTTGAAGGGGAAGTTTGCAATGTAGACATCCCATAGCTAGCATTTTTTGAGATGAAGGGGCTCTCTGCTGCACCTGGGCTATTTGCACCCATGGAGACAATATTGGCTCTTGCGGGTGCTGGATGGGTCCAACCTAGTTGAGGTGGGAGGGTCTCTTCTTTCTCTCATTGCTCACAAAACACTTCCTAACACTTTTGTTTCCCAGTAGCTAAACTGCCTAAATGCATTGTATCTAAATGCATTATCTAAAATGCAATTTTCTCTCCTGGAAAGAAATCTTCCTGTGGAACTGTGTGGTGTTTTTTTTGTTTTTGTTTTTTTTGGACAAAACAGGTCATTTGATCTCTGAAATTTCATAGGAATGGTTGAAGCCCTAGCCAAGCATACAGAAGAAAAATAACTCTCTGAAGCAGTCTTGAAATGTTTCCTGTTACTCCCAACAAACTGACATGGGTGATTTGAGCGCAGAAATTGCCTCATTCCCTGGAATCTCTTCATTTTTAAATGCCAAGGCAAAGTTTAAGCACCCTTGTGCTGTTTCCCTTTCTAAAGGTGTTCTTGGTAGGGCTGGCTGAGCAGTCTTTTCTGACACCCAGATTTGATGAATGTGCTTATTTTGTAAGAGGGGTCTGAATTGAAGCTCCAGATGGGAAGAAACTTGATCTTTGGGGAGCGTGGGCAAGCCCAGCCAAGTCTAGGGTATGCAAGGGCAGTCCATGGCTCCCAGGGCACCTTTGCCAAAGCAGTCTTAACTGATAGCATAATTTTCTGAGGTCTAAGCTGAAAATATATATATTTTAATATGCTTGAATACAGAATAGTGATTTAATTTCCTGTGTGGTGCCCAGAGCAGGGAGCAGGGAGGATGCAGTAGTCCTGAGTCATCTGCCAGGAGTGAAGCTTGGATGGTCTGGGAAGGATGTAGTGTTGCCTGAGGTGGGCAGTTCTGCAGCAATTTGACAGAAAAAAAAGGTATTATAGGTGAAATCAAACCCTGTAATATTCAGTATATTATAAACCAGAGATTATGAGGTAGTTCATGGGCTTCAGTGACACTCTGAAATGAACTTACCCTTGGTTGATAGCACATCATTACGTGCCCTGTCTCTGGCACCATTTCCACAAAGGCTGTTATTAGTATCGCAAGTGCAAGGTGTCTGGAAGCTTTAAATCATCTCTGCATTTTGGTGCTCATGCTGTCCATGGGAAGCCTGCCCAAGACGGGAGCTTGGGAGCGGAGCTCCCAGTTCCATGGGCTCGGCAGGTACCTTGGGTAGATGAGCAAATATTTCCTTGACTCATTCCCCACTTGAAGTGGAGATGATGAACGTTTAGAGCATGGCAAGCCCCATCTTGGGGCAGTCGGTTCAAACATTCCTCCTTGTAAAAACTATGCAGTAAGGACAAAACCCTCTTTGAACTGGGCTGACTCATAATTTTATCCAAAGATAATATTTCTTCACAAAGATTCATTGTGATATTTTGTCTGATGTAAACGTTTCTCACCAGTTTGTGAGCACTGGCCAGCACTGTCTGTCTTGCCTGCTCTGGTTGACAGCCTGAATTAACCACAGCGTTTGGCCATAAACCCTTGCAAAACAGCTAATCACCTTGCCTCTGGACCTTTCAAATCAGATTACTGTGTAAAGCCCTCACCAGTATTTATAATAACGAAGCCATATGTGATAAAATCCTTGATTAGCTTTACTGAAGTCATTTTTCAGAAAGCATGGTCTGAACTGGAGCCTCAGGCTTTTCCTGCCTTTGAAGCTGATGGGAAAGTGCCATTTCTTTCATTGTAAGAGCAGGTTTGAGCTTATGTCAGTAGGTTGTAGGAGGTAGGACTAAAAGGGTGGTGTTCAACTGATATGATGTGAGAAAAATGGAGATCTTCTTCCTAAAGTGATAAAATGAGTTCTTCAAGAGACATCAGCTCCTCACTCATCACCTTCCCCAGATACCAAACAGGGTGGAACCTGTAAGTCTTTCCTTTTCATTTTGGGCAGAAAAAGAAAAAAAAAAAAGGGGTTTTACTGTATTTTTCAGCCTCATGTGCTGCCTGAAATGGTTACCTAAAATGTTTTCTGTGTGGAAAGGTGCCCTTTGATATAAGAGAGGGTAATCGCTTTCCCTGGCTCACAGTTCCAGACACTTTCTTTTTTTCTGGATTACTTGAAAAGCCTTTTCTGGTTAGAGGGAGATGCTGCTGTTTTTTTTCACCCGTTAGTAATGGGTTTGCTGCTGGCTACTGCTATGTGTGCAATTAGTGTTTACAAGTATCATCGTGGTGTCTTAGGATTCCAGTTGCTGCTCATTTGCAGATGTTTTGTTCTCTTCGCAAAGCAGTTGCAAGACACATGTACTCCAGATTACACTTCAAAATCAATTCCATCACTTTTGGAGAGATGGTTTCCCTCTGTCCCCCTCTGTCCTCTCCATCTTCCTCCTAATAGAAGATAAGTAGGGAGCTACTTGTGCAGAGAGTTTCTGATGTCTGTTTTTGGTTACATTAGGGGGGAAAAATGTGATGTTAAGGGGAATTGATTGCAAAAAACTAGAGAATTTTTTAAAGTCAAGTCTCTACGTATTCATGGTGTTTTCCCCCTCTGCCTGCTCTGAGGCCTTTTCCTCAATTTTATATTTTGAGAGACTTGTATAAAAGTCACAGTTAAACGTGGTTCTTCCTCTCCCTTGCAAGATAACAGCCTAGAAATCACAAGATGATTAAGTGAACACATTTCTCTGGTATTTCATCCTCAGGTGAATTTTCAGAGATTCTAGGTGGGAGAACAAAAATATGACAGAATTGTGTCCGTTTGCATGAAATGCTTGGGTGAAAGTTTTCAGACTTCATCTCCTCCTGGGCTTTAGGAGACTGGAACCAGGGTCATTTTAAAACCAAATGTATAAATTACTTATACCCAAAGGCTCTGAGTATTGTTCTTTGCTACATTTTTTAGGTTCACCAAGATGAAGACAGCGACCAACATTTACATCTTTAACCTTGCTCTGGCTGATACCTTGTGCCTGATGACCTTGCCCTTCCAGGGTACAGACACGTTCCTGGGCTTCTGGCCCTTTGGCAATGTCCTCTGCAAAATTGCCATCTCCATAGACTACTACAACATGTTCACAAGCACCTTCACGCTGACGATGATGAGCGTGGACCGCTACATCGCTATCTGCCACCCCATCAAAGCGCTGGATATCCGCACTCCGCACAAGGCCAAGGTGGTGAACGTGTGCATCTGGGCACTGGCTTCTGTCTTTGGCATCC